TTGAACCACGGTCCCTGTGCTTTGCTTGGCTTAGTTTGTTCTAAGTAGGTGCTTTAGACCACTGAGCCATCTCACCAGCCCAGTACCTACTAAAATATACACAGCTCTTACTTCAGCTTAGCTCTTCCTTAGCTTCAGGTTAGAAAACTGATCTGAAACAATCTTCCTAACTCCTGTCGGTGTGTCAGAGTGCTATACTCCGAATGGACAGAACCAAGCACGCAGGCCCCAGCACTGAGTGTTGCTTCAACAAAGCCGTTTTCTGTCTAGATGGGCTGCACGTTCCTTGTTCACACGGAGGAGTGGAGGTGGGTGGAACAACGGTAGAGCTCAGGGTTTCCCATGGGCAGGCACATACTAGATCCTGGGGATCTGGATCATCCACGTCATGTTGGGGCAGTAGATTCGGTTTCGGACAAACCAGGAGGAAAGTTTGCTCCACTCGTCTGGACTGCGACCATAGATGGACAGGCGGGGCTCTGCATGCTGATACTTGGCATCCACCAGGTCTGCTCCTACCTCCTGCAAAACCAAGAGAGCAATCCGAGATTAGGAATTCAGCCAGGTGTGGTGGCACATGCCTGTAATCCTAGCACTCAGAAGGCTGGGGCAAGAGGGTTGCAGTGAATTCAAGGCCACCCTGGGCTACTTAGTGAGTTCAAAGCTAGCCTGAACTACCTGGCCATACTCTGTCTTGAAAACAAGGAAAACAAAGCTAAGAATTTCCACAAGCCCCCGTGGGCCCTAACTCTATGGAATCGAGGAAGAGGAGGTGGGTATTAAGGGGCTGGGAAGACAGGTCAGTGGCTTAAGTGCCTGCCTGGCAAGCGAAAGGAGCGCAAAGTCCTGAGTTTGATCCCTGGTACTGAAAAAAAAAAAAAAAAAACTGAGAGAATGTGAAAGGAAATAGAAAGAAAAATTTCAAAGGTTAAAATGTAAAGGGTCTGACAGTTAAGGTGAACCCAGTGGGGATAAACAATTCACTGAACATGATGGAGATTAGAAAACAAAAATCTTACTAAACTGCATGTGGCGGCACATGCCTGTGACCCTAGCACTAGGGAAGTTGAGGCAAGAGGGTTGCTGTGTGCTGAAGGCTAGCCTGGGCCACACAGTGAGTCAGGCCAGCCTGAACTGCATAGGGAGACCTTGTCTCAACAAACAACCAAAGCAAAACATGGCATTTACCAAGATATTTCATGAAACATAAAAATCAAACTAAAAAAGCTAAGAGGGGTGATGCACACCTGTAATCCCAGCACCCAGGAGACTGAGGCGGGAGGATCATTGCATTTTGAGACCAGCCTGGGTTACAAAGTGAGCTCAAGGCCAGCCTGAACTGCAGAGTGAGACCCTCCCTCAGAACTGGGCTTGTGACTCTGGAGGTTAAGACAAGAGGATCGCTGCAAGTCTGAGACCAGCCCGGGGGCTACAAAAATGAGCACAAGGCCAGCCCGAACTGCATAGAGAGACCCTGTTTCAAAGAAAAAAAAAAAATAGACCCTGTCTCAAAAAGACAAGGAAGGAAGGAAGGAAGG